CTCGGCTGCAGCAACCCCATGGTGCCATGGCCCCCGCTGGGGGTGGGGGTGGGGGCCCTGGCCTGCAGCAGCATTACCCTTCAGGCATGCCCCTGCCCCCTGAGGACCTGCCCAACCAGCCACCTGGTCCCATCCCCCCCCAGCAGCACCTGATGGGCAAAGGCATGGCTGGCCGAATGGGCGACGCATACCCGCCTGGGGTGCTCCCTGGGGTGGCATCTGTACTGAACGACCCAGAGCTGAGTGAGGTGATCCGGCCCACCCCTACCGGCATTCCCGAGTTCGACTTATCCAGGATCATCCCCTCCGAGAAGCCGAGCAGCACGCTCCAGTACTTCCCCAAGAGTGAGAACCAGCCCCCCAAGGCTCAGGCCCCAAATCTGCATCTCATGAACCTGCAGAACATGATGGCGGAGCAGACGCCCTCTCGGCCCCCCAACCTACCAGGCCAACAGGGGGTCCAGCGGGGGCTCAGCATGTCCATGTGCCACCCTGGACAGATGTCCTTGCTGAGCAGGACAGGTGTGCCCCCACAGCAGGGCATGGTGCCCCACGGGCTGCAGCAGGGGGTCATGTCCCCACCGCAAGGCCTCATGGCCCAGCAGAATTTCATGCTGATGAAGCAGCGTGGTGTGGGGGGTGAGGTCTACACCCAGCCTCCCCACATGCTCTCCCCACAGGGCTCCCTCATGGGGCCTCCACCCCAGCAGAACCTCATGGTGGCCCACCCTCTGCGGCAGCGCAGTGTGTCTCTGGACAGCCAGATGGGTTACCTCCCGACGCCGCCGGGCAGCATGGCCAATCTACCCTTCTAGCACGCCCCTCGGGGTAGGGGGTCTGGAGCTGGGGATACTGAGAATATGTTAACTTTAAAAAGGTTTTTGGTTTTTGTTTTTTCCTCCAGTGTTGGGATGGATGGCCTGGGTCCAGGGGTAGGGTGAGGGGTGGGAAGGGGCTTGTGTGGGGAGTGGCATTTGTGGAAACCTGATGTGCCGGCAGCTTAGGGGGAAGTGGCAAGAGTCGGGCGGGGAGTTGGAATTGGCATTTGTTTGCTCAGTTGTGGGCGCTGGGACTACCCCTCCCTGCTGTTCCTTCTCCTATGGAGCTTCTATTTCCCTTTGTCTTTGCCCCTCTCGCCGCTGTCACCTACGCTTTGGGGGTTCTTGGGGGAGAGAGGAAGGAGGAGAAGGGTTTCCCATCCTCTGTCCCTTTGTGGAACCGTCACCTCCCTCGTCAGTGCTTCAGGTTCTGCCCGGTTTCTCAGTTTTTCCCCTCTGTCTTCCTCATTTCTTCTCCCTGCTTACGGGGCTGACCTCTCTCATGCCCCCTGCAGGCAGCTGGCCGGGTGGGCAGGTGCCCGTGGAGCTGTAAATAGAGCTGCGCTTTTGTGCCGGTTTGTGCGTGTGCCGTATTTCTGTGTTTTGATAGAAGTCACACACAAAAAAAAAAAGATTAAAAAAAAAGACCCTCCCCCCTCCTTCAAATGATCGCTCCCTCCATTCCCCTGGACCCAGAGACATACAGTCCTCCGCATCCTCCATGTGTCCCACCTATGAACTGAGGTCAGACCATTTAGGCTTCCATATGGTGAGCCCGGGAGGGCCGAGACCTCCCCCTTCCCACTACTTTGGCCGCCTGTCTGCTGCTGAGTGATTTCCGGAGAGCAGGTGTGCGCGTGTACATAGGGCCCCTGGCCTGGGTGCCTCTGCTGCTACATCTTAGTCAGAACTTGAAGCCCTGTGGCCCCATAGACTGGAGCTGTGGAGGGGTTAGCATGATTTGGGCCAGTTAACTCCTCAGGGCACAGACTCTTCTAGAAACCACCACTTGCTTCTCACCAAAGAAGGAAGGAACAGAGTTGGCCCTCCGGCCTCCACCCCTAGCGTGGAGTGAGGGAAGGCAGGGGGGCCGGGAAGAGAACAGCCTGCTGCCTCCCCCGCCTGCCCACTCTCTGGCAAGGTCCTTCTGTCCAGGGCTCAGGGTCATGTACCAGATCTGTCTATGCCCACCCAGGCACAGCCACTGCCTCCCCTTTTGGAGAGACCCTCACCCTCCACTGGTCAGACTGAAGCCATACAGGAATGGGTGTTTTGTCTCCCTTGGTCCCAGGAGTAAACTACTCCTGCTTTCTCACTTCCTTTCCTGCCTTGTAAGGTGGCGGGCAGCTCCCTGGCTAAGGCCTTTCCTGTCCTGCCTCCAGGGCCAAGGGCCATTCTAGACAGGGTGTCTTTTACCAGAGCCCGTCCCCAGCCTTTCTGACCTGCAGGGCCTGGTTTTGCCTTGGCAGCTGTAATACAAAGGGAATTTGTGCCCACTTCTCCCAGTCTGGTGCTGTCCGTCGTCAGCCAGGTCAGACACCACTCCCCCTTCAGAGCTGGCTGCAGGCCCCTGCCTTCCCCTTCCCCTCCCAGAGGCCATAGCCAAGGTCTCTGTGTTGAGAGACGGGTGGAAACCTGTCCCTTCCTGCCAAACCCTGCCCTCCCTGCTTCCATCTGGGCCCACAGAGGGCCCGATGCCCCCTTCTGGCGCCCTCGTCTCCCACCTCTACCACTAGCTTCCCAAGGTGATCTCCACAGGCCAGCCTTCTCCTCTCCATCCATGGCCATACCCCAGCCATTTTGTACCATTATATAAATATATATATAAATATAAATATATAAATACAATATGTGAAGACATCTTCTTGGTTTTTATTTTGAAACACTTTTTAGGCTTGTTCCGGGGGTCTCTGTGCTGCCTGTACTGTATTGACCTGTTTTATAGGTGCCTTTTTATTAAAAAGAGAAAATTCAAAAGTGCTATCTCTTGCCTTTTTGTTTTTGTGTCTGGTTTCTCCACTGCCCAACTGGCTGTTGGATGCCGGGAGCAGAAGAGGCGACCTCCAGCTGTCTCCCGCCATTCTGCAATGAGGGTACAGTCTTTGAAGCTATAGCACTAATTTCCCTACTGGGGTCCCCCAGGGGCAACCCCACTTCCTCTAACATCCCCATCCCCTCCTCGATCAGTGCCTGGGAGGAAGGGGCTCTCAGAATTGCCTGCTGGCTTCCCCTAAGCAAGTGTGGACTGGCTTCCTCTGGGTAGTACCCTCCCAGCACCTCCTGGGGCTTGGCGACTTGCTTGCCCAGGTGGCCAATGTGAAACAGGGACCTCTGTCCTCATTCTCTTAGCCAAGCGCCCCGTCTCCTGAGGCTAGGCCTGCTTTGTTATCTTACTTTCCACAGGCCCCAAGGGTTGCCAGAGAGGCAAGTTAGACTGTTGTGCTTGTCTTTAAACTCTCCCTTCCTTTTGGCAACCCTTGAACCCTAGGTGAGAGAGAGAAGGTTAGTGGAGAGAGGGTGCAGGCCCTTTACTTCTCCTGGCTGTTTAGGGTCGATGAGTTCTTTCAGGGCTGTACCAATCTCCAGCAACAGCAAAGGCAGCGAGCAGTCCCTCCAAGCTCCTGCGCTGAAACGTTTCTCTCAGTCTGTCTCCTCCAAGCTGCTGTACTACAAAGCGTATCTCCTGTGTCTATCCAATCTCCCACACTGAAGGTCTCTCGTCTCCCCAAACTGCCACACCTTTTCTTTCTGGGGTCTCCTGTTTATGTCCCTCAGAATCCTAGACCACGCCCCTCTCCGTGCTGCAGAAGGCAGGCCGTTACCAGCTGGCAAAGACCACGGCCCACACTTGGGATTAAAGCAAAAGCATATTTAGGTAACATAACTGAGTTTGAATTTTATTTTTATTTTAAAGATTTATTTATTTATTTATACAGTATTCCATCTGCATTATTCCTATACACCAGAGGAGGGCACCAGATCTCATTATAGATCTTATGAGCCACCATGTGGTTGCTGGGAATTGAAGTCAGGACCATCTGGAAGAGCAGCCCAGTGCTCTTAACGCCTGAGCCATCCCTCCATCCCCCATAACTGAGTTTTAAAAGAAACCAAAGATTCCATTACAACCTTCTTTCCCATCAATACCCAGAATTCACTACGGCCCTGGATCTCCTCTCCCTGTAGTCTGGAAGCTTGGTCCATGGGTAGAGAAGACAGCTGGGTTTGATATTTACTTGCCCCTCTTTGGGGCCTAGAGAATGTGTCTTTCCATTTCTCCACTGGGCTTCTTTCCTGCTGGCTTGCTCTTTACTCGTCTTGGGATACTGGCTAGCTTCCAGGGCCTTCTGGAACTTGTCCTCAGTCTGTAATCCAAGATCCAGTAACACGGGGCTGACCCAGTGCTGGTTTGGTTAGAGCCAGACAGCTACCTAAAGTACATCAGTTTCAGCTTCCTGCTCAGTTAAGAGAACAGGCACCATTGAAGGTCTGGCAGAGTCTGTATTTGGGAGACAAGCATGTTAAGGCCATACTCCGTGGCCAGCTGGCTAGTCCTCAGTGGTGGGTGATGAAATGCATTCTGGGAGGAGATTCTGGGGCTCATAATCAGGAGGCAGATGAGATTGTAGGCTGCAAGCGTAGATGGTTTTCCTTATGGCCAGAAAAGAAGTAAAGCTGATTTTTTAAAAGATTTATTTATTCTTCCTCTGTGTGAGCCAGCAGGCCAGAAGAGGGTGCCAGATCTCACTATAGATGGTTAAGATCACCACGTGGTTGGTGGGAATTGAACGCAGGGCCTTTGGCAGGGCAGCCAGTGTTCTTAACCTCTGAACCATCTCTCCAGCTGTAAAGTTGATTCTTAACTTGGGCTGGTTAGGATGAGAGGTGTGCGCGGTCCTCACTAGGAACACGCAGTCAGTCCTCACCTCATAGTGACAGAGGTGGTCAGGATAGCTTTTGCTTAGTCTTCAGCTTTCTTCCCTTCCTGGGGCTCTAGTCTAGCCTGACGGCTGGCAGAAGAGCTTCAGGGACGTTCTAGAAAAAGTTCATCTAGCTGTCCCATCTAGAGACACTGGCCCAAATAGCTCTTCGAAGCCCAGCTCTTGTTGGAACGACTTCTAGCATCATTCTCTGCTCCCGAGGGAAACAGAAGCAAAGAAGGGGGTGCGGACATTCTGCAGCCTAGAAGGTGGTGAGAGAGGTGGCGTTCTCTGACTCGGAGAGACTGCTCTTGCGCCAGTTGGGAAAGAGCTGGCAAAGGGAGGCTGGGCCAGAACAGCCTAGCTTGGTCAGAAGCCGAGACAGGTCACTTCGGAACTTTACTCCGGCAAAGGTGTAGAGCATGGGATTGAGACAGCAGTGGGCCAGGCCCAGGAATTCACATACGGTGATGGCCACAGAAAGATAGCCGCTCAGCTCACAGCTGCTGTTCATGGCCTTCAGCCTGTCCAGCGTGTCTAGGAAAATGACAATGTGGTAGGGTGACCAGCAGAGAAAGAAAATACTTGTCACTAAGATGGCCACCCTGACTGCCTTCTGCCGCTGAGGGCGCCGCTGGGCCTGGCATAGCCTGTGTACCACCCCCACGTAACACCAGGCCATCACAAGCATGGGTAGTAGGAAGCCCCCAAAATGGTAGAGGAATCGGGAGGTGAACCAGGCTCTGGTTTCGGCTTCGTTTTCTTGGGAGAAGATGCACTGTGGCAGGGAGTCGTTGTGATGAGGCTGGCCAACCTTGGCAAAGAGGAGTTCCGGTAAGGAAAACAGGAAGCCAGCCAGCCAAATGGTTGTGCAGGTGATGTGGATGGAGAGGAGGCGACGGCGGCGGTAGGCGTGGACGGCGTGGACGATGGCGAGGTAACGGTCTATGGCGATGCAGGCCAACAGCAGGCTGCTGCAGTAGAAATTGATCTTGTGCAGAGCGATCACGGCTTTGCAAAGGAAGGTCCCTAAGACCCAGCCCACAGAGCCCTCGGCCACTGCAAATGGCAGGATGAAGACTAAGAGGAGGTCGGCCACTGCGAGGTGGAACAGGAAGGTCTCGGTCGAGCTCCGAGTGTGCCGGTGCCTCTCCAGGATCACGAGCACCAGGATGTTTCCCATCATGCCCAGGAGGAAGATGAGGCTGTAGACCACCGGCATGAACACCGCCTTGAAGGAGGCCAGCAGGGGCCCCTCCACTGTGGAGCAGAACTGACCGTCCTGGAAGGGGATCTCCGTGCTATTACCGTAGAAGGCAAATTCCTGGTAATGCAAGAACAGAGAGAGAGAAAAATAAGAACAACAGCCCCGTCTTTTTTCTCTGAGGGGAAACTACCTGCGATCTGTTCTGTCCTTCCAGGCTAACTAATTTTTGTCCGCTCTATTCCATTTCCCCTTGGTGTGCTCTTGAACAAATCATGCCATCTTTTCCTTCTTTCCTTCCTTCTGCCTATTTTTTTTTTTTTTTTTTTTTTTTGAGACAGGGTTTCTCTGTGTAGCCCTGGCTGTCCTGGGCTCGCTTTGTAGACCAGGCTGCCTTGAACTCACAGAGATCTGCCTGCCTCCGCCTCCCAAGTGCTAGGATCACAGGCGTGCACCACCGTACCAGGCTTCCATATCCAGCTTCTTAAATTTATTTATTTTTTAGTTTTAATTTTTGGCAGTGCTGGAGGTTGTGAATGCCAAGCAAGTGCTGCACCACTGACCCACAACCCTGGCCTGAAACTTCAGGGGTTTTTTTGTATGCAAAAGGGACCAGGGTGATGTCTTGTGTCCATGTATTCTTAGATGTGGAAGGCTTAGGGCTTGCAGTCTGTACTGACACTTGGGGATGGGACACAACTGGAGCAAGAAGCCAGTGTTCCAATTCTGAAAGGTGGGGAGTAAACCTAAGATCCTGCCTTGGGGAGGGTATGGTTGTGGCTTGCTTACTTCCTCTTCATTTGTCCCCTTCTTCCTGTCTTGATTATTGCTGAGATTGAGGAAATGGCCTCCCATCTGGTTTAATCCACACAAGCTTGAGGTATGTAATCTGTTTTTCAGTCGTGTCTTGCTCAAAGAGGGGGTTTGCTTAAAGGCACATTTGCCTGTCTCCAGAGTCTAATACTTCTACCACTGAGCGACATTGCCTGAGCTTCCCTCCAAAGACTTCTGGGGGAGGGGCAGAGACCGAGCTTCCAGCCACTTCCCAACCAGAGAGCAAACTCCCTAGGCACAGAAACCCTGTAGCAGAGACAAATGAGTCACACACAGGGAGACCAGACACGGGGAAGGGAGGAAGCCTCTTCTGAGTGGAAAAGAAGGGAGGTGCGCCTGTTATATCTCCGGAAGTTCCTACCTCCACATCCTCCCCCCACCCCCCGTCACCGCCCTCCATCACCCCAGCTCTCAGGTTTGCCTGCTTAACCACAGAGGAAGACAGTGTGCCTGTTTTCATACCTTTCACTCACAGCTGTCCTGCACCTGCTCTTCCTCAACTCCCAACTCTGTTCTTTCTGCCCTCCCCTGGCCAACCTCCTTTCTGGGCAATACAACGCCAATTACACACTACTGACGAGGGGTTCAAATGCAGTGAATAAGTGATGGGCCCCAGGGAGGCAAGAGATAGCGAGGTATTCTGACCCCTAGGCTCTGGGCAATCTTATTCTAACCCTCTGTGAGGAGAGGGAGGGCTTCCTGCCAGCAGTGGTTGGTTCACTGGTTACCTTAAATCTTTCTTGCCACCCAGGCACACCCTAGTTGTAGGTCATGTACTCCCTTCCACCAGTGGGTAAACGGATTCCCCATCCTGGTCTTTTGGTCCCTGGAGCAGGTGGCTCTTTAGGGAGGGATGGGGACACACGGTACAATGATGATGCCATCCACCACCTGTCTGCTATCACCTCAGTCCTGCCCCCTCTCTCTCTGAGTCCTTTTCTTTCCTTTCCCTTTTTTTTTTTTTGAAAAAAAATTAGACTTAATTTTTTTTAAAATTTTATGTGTATAAGTGTTTTGCCTACATGTATGTACGTGTGCTGTGTGTGTGCCTGGTGCCCATGGAGGTCAGAAGAAGGCATTGACTCCTCTGGAACTGGAGTTACAGGAAGTGTGAGTCACCATGTGGGCGCTGGGAACTGAACCCCAGTCCGCTGAAAGAGCAGCAAATGCTCTTAACTATGGAGCCATCACTGTAGCCATACAGGTCCTTTTCTTACCAGCTTTTATATTCTTGTCCACTTCCTACCCAGTGGATGGTTGAGTTTTCTCATACACAAATCCCAGCCAGGCGCTACTCAGAAGTTTGAGGAGAACAGCTTAAGCCCACAATTTGAGTTCTGTTATCAGTATAGTCAGATTCTGTCTCAAAAACAAACAAAAAACCCTGCACAGGTCCTATAGCAGTAATGTCCTGCTTAGAGTCCATTAATGGTTCCCCATCACCTGTAAAGAACAGGTGGCTTTTTGTCTCTGTCTTGTTTTCTCATTTCTTATTCAATAGTAAAACCATTTGTAAAAAGCCATTTTTGTGATAATGTCCATCAGCGGAGAAATGGGTCAGGTTTCACACACAGCAGAACGCAACTCGACCTTGGAAGGAAATGCTGTTTATGGTGTGTCTGGCCTCTTAGGGAAAGACATTTACCACACAGCATGGCTCAATGTCAGAACCAACAACAGGGCACCCATACAGCACCAAGGCCCCAAGGTGGCATGCATATCTCAAGAGGCCCTGGAGTTTGGGCTTATTCCAGGCTAGCCTGTACTGCTTGGGTCCCTGAAACAAACAAACAAACAAACAAAAGAGGGACATACATTTCTATGACAGAGCCCTGGCCTAGCAGGGACAAAAACAGAGCCGGTGGATGAGAGAAACGAGAGACCTGTCGGATGGGGTCTCGGTGCCCCGGAGAGAAGGCCTTTACATCTGCCCTAATGTGGGCTGGAGGTGTAGCTCAGGAGGTAGGATGCTTGCCTAGCACACACAGGGCCCCAAGCTTGAGCCTCAGCCCTGTGAAGATAAAAATAAATAAATATCTCCAGAATGTGTTCTCCTTTGATGTGTCAAAGCTTACCTACTGCTTCATCGCATCAGACACTCTGTGCCTCAGGTATATTCTATCAGCTGTCTGGTACCCAGCAACCCTGCCAGCTTCCTGTCACTTCTGCTCAGGCTCTTCATTTCTTCCAGTCTGCCTCTCTAAACTCCTGCCTTCCTTCAAAGGCCCGAGTCGACCCCATCTTCCTATGTTCTTCTTAGCCCCTTCTGCTTGGAATTCCAGGCTGCCTGGGGCTCAGCACAGATGCAGGTCTTTGCATCTTTCTGTAAACCCTGCCTCTGGGGCCTAACTGGGTACTCTGTCCCTGGAGGAAGTTGTTTCCAATAGAAGAGCTGACTCTGACTCTTGCAGTAGGAGGTCGAGGGGACTATGAGGGGTGAACCTCCCAGCTGAACCTGTCCTGGGAAGCCGAGCCAGCCTGTCTGGCCCAGAGGCCCTTCATAACTGCTTTTCTATGCTGATGAGCTTATCCGTTTAAAGTTCAATCAGTGGGATAGCTCCACAGGGCCAGGTAAAGCGAGAGGGTCTGTCTCTTCCTCTATGCCTAGAGGTATTGTTTTGGCAAAGCCTCAGAGGAGAGGAAGATGGGTGGGAAGCTAGCTTGGTGTGTATCAACATACCAAGGTGTCAAACAGATGTTTTGGAGCGGTAAAGAGTGTTAAAGCCACTTCCCATATACAGGGCCGTGGGCACTCCTCTCCCCCAAACCATGGAGAGAAGCCATAAGGTAAGGGTGGCTCTGGCCTGGTGGAAAGGTGAGGAGACACATGCTGTCAAGGGAGCTAGCCTGAGGCAGCAGGCAGAGCACAGTTCAGCAATGGGATGAACGCTCACTCATTCTTTGCTATTAAAAAAAAAAAAAAAGAAAGGCAGAAACCCTCATGTGTACCCCCACTGTGATGGCAGCACACACCATCTATAGACACGGGCACATGCCCAGACATGGCCACACCCCCATGCTGCACAGGAGGCACCCAAACAGAGCACAAACAGCTTACAAGCAAGCTATAGGGACGTAATCCCCACGAGAAATATGATGCCTGGAATGAAGCCAGGCACGAGCTAGGAACCTAGTTAGCAAAGCACTGTGAGCTCCAGCAGGAGGATGGGGAGGAGAGGTAAAGATGAAAGTGCGCCTCCCATGATGAGGTCCACAGAGGCTCCTCTTCACTCTCTGTACAAGACTCGGGTCACTCTCTGAACTAGTAAAGTCTCGAAGCTCCATGGTGTTTTTTTTTTTTTTTTTTTTTTTTTTTTTTTTTTTTTTTTTTTTTCCCCCAAGCAATGAAGCTGCTCTGTTGCTTTGAGCTGTCTAACAAGCCATTCTGCTAGGGTTTGCTGACTGGATTTCTCTGTGAGCAGGTAAGGCGACATTCCTCAAGGATCTAGCCTGGATTTTCTCCTGGCACTCAAGCCTGCTTTGGACGGGGCATGACTGGGGAGCACTTTTGACAATGCAGAGTCCTCCGTAGGCTGACACGGGAGCTCAGACTCACCAGGTGGAATTATTGTGGGGGGCAGACTGCAGTTAGAGACCCAGACTGCAGTTTGGCCTATAGCTTCTGTTCGTTGGGAATCTGAGTCAGAAGAAGCGTCTGAACCCATGAGTTTGAAACCAGCTTACTCAGCATCCTTAGACCCTGACTCAAACATACAGAATACACACATACACACACATCATGAGAAAAAAAAAAAATACTTGGGCGGTTAGGCCATCATTGTTTTCCCCTAAACGAGCAAAGCCTTCAGAAGATTTGCTAGTTCTGCTGAAGGGTTTAGAAAATTCTGCTCTGGGAAGGAACGTAGGATTTGAGAAAAAGAAGTCTGAAGTCCATGAGAACTGTCTTCAAGGACTGGCTAGGGCCTTGGGTTAGGAGGTGAGCGCTGGGCTCTGCTGTGAGCCTCAGCTGTAGATCAGGAGAAATGGGCAGAAATGATCAAGTGGCTCCAGCTGATAGAGGGACAACGTTCTAACAGGCACAACTGTCCAGCACTGGGCATCTGTGAGCTCAAGTGCAAGGGAAGAGTTCCGGCTTCAGGAAGGCCCGGACCCTGCCTCTGATTCTGCTGCTCGCTCATGTCCTGCCCTGCCCAGAGTTGAGTTGCTTCTTAGCATGGTCTTTCTTCCCCTCCCACTGGCAGTCTTTGCTTTTCTAACCTATCCGGCAGCCGGTGAATGCTGCAGGCTGACCCCGATTCCCAGCCCTGAGGATCATGCTCTCTCGG